GTCCACCCCTCGATCCAGGGCATATTGGGGGGGGGTTTGGATTCAAAGGGGAGGGTTGTTGGGGCATTTTCATGGGCAGCCGCCCATTTGTAAATTTGAATGGGGTAATTTTCCCGGACTGGGAGAAGGGGGGGGTTTATGCGGGGCCATCCACCAGTAGATTTTTAAAAAGCGGGGTAGTTAATTTCCCCAAAAATCAGGGGGGGATTTACCGGGGGAAGTTCCGGTTTTTCCCCTGGGGTTCCTTGGTTTTTGGGTTGGGTGGGACCAACTTTCCTTTTTTCCCCCCCCCCTAAAAGTAGGGGGGGGTTTACCCTTGGGTGTTGGTCCCGGGGAAAAAAAGGTCCCTCCTTTTGGGGGGGGGGGGGTAAAGGTTTTACCGTTAAGGGAAGCCCCCCCCCCCCCCCCCCCCATGGCGCGACAACAGGTCAACATGGCCGAGTTTCAGGAGGACAACCCGCAGTTCAGCCCAGAGCTGTTGACGTTCACTCTGCAGTTCCTGTTGGCCAACAAGTGGCCGTCGAACAGCTTGATGGAGGACTTCAACTACTGCGACGAGGATTGCGATGTCGGTCAGACCGACCCGTGCGGGTGCACCTGCATCACCGACCCTTTCGAGTGGACCGACGATGCGGTGGGTTCCTTTTCTGCTGGTGGTGCTGAGTTTGTCGCTCGGCGCGTAGTACCGTACGGTTGCGCGTCAGTTCACGGCGTGCGAGCTATTTTCAAAAAAGCGTAATTTCTCCACAAGCAGGAGGTTACCACTGGCTGTCAAACAAGGCGGTTGTGGAAGCATCTCATCGAGAGCTTTCCTGACAAGTACCAGTTGACGCTCGCAACCCTTCTGGCTGTGGAGAAATTACGCTTTGAAAATCGATCGCACCCCTGTGCGCTGACTCGCAACCCTACGGTAGGTGTTTTAGAGTGTGCCTTCGTCATGGAGAACGGCCGACCCCACTTTGAAATACAAAGATAGAAGTACGTACTAATACCACGGTGTAGAGAGTTGGTTGCCGTGCCTCCTCGCCTCCTCTGTCCTCCCTCTGCGCCGCGCGCGCGCCCGTGTCGTTCTTTTAGACACATAGAGGCTTGTGCATTTTCGTTCTCGGTTATTGTCGTTTTTTTTTTTTTTTCCTAGTATGACACAACGAATCCATCTCTATCATAGAAAAGAGTCAGAGAGAGATTGGCAATGAATTCATAGCGTCAGGAAAAGCTACCTGTATGTCTGCGATTTTGTGTTGGCGGTAATGTCGTCGTGTTGCGTGTTGCTGTTGTTTTTGTTGGCTGCTGTTCGTTGTGCTAGTTAGTATATTTGTTATTTTTTGTTGCACGCGTAAGTCTGTTGCTGGGCGATGATGACCGTGTTCTTCCGTAGTTATTGTAGCCGTTTGTTATATCGTGTCTCTGATAGCGTCGAGTTGGATTTCTACATCATTGCCGGGGCGTTTTTACTCATTGGCCTAGATTCATTAGCCTCTGTGCCTTACATCTGTGAGTCCCGCAATACGAAAATCATCGCCTTCGTTGACAGCTTGCCTTCGTTCCGCGGCCCATGGCATAATAGTGAGTAGTCTATCTCCCTATATTGATCAACCGCTATTTTGCCACTGTTGTTTCTTCCTGCGTTGCGGCATTCATTTATACCCCGAGTGCCGTCTTTTCTCTCTTCTCTCTCTCTCTGGTTGTTCATCTCTTTTTTTTTTTTTTTCGCTATTTTGTCGCCGTCTGTTGTCCTGTGTCTGCAGATATATGACTTCATGGAAGGTGCGATGGAAACATTGCAACAGAGAGCACATGGAGATGAGTTCATCGACGAGGACAGCAGCGCCAGACATCCTCTCGGCTTCGCACAGGTGCGCAGGTCTTTCTATTTACACCTGCAACAAATGTGCAACTTGGTTCGAGTGAAATAAATCTCTTTGTGTTTTGCGCAAAGTCCGTTCAAGCTTTTCATGAACAACAGCTGCCAGACGACGAGTCAACCATGCTGAACTGACGGTGATCAACGCAATCAACTCTACCAACACCGTTCCGTTGCCGTTATCAGGAAGGGAAACGGTTGGATGAGGAGTCGACCATGCTCCTGATGCGCCAACTGATGGTTATCGGGTGCGAGCCCGGCAAGGTGGGAGCGATGAGCACCGGAGCCGCGCCTCTGGACCCGATATTCTGGGCGCTACACGCAGGCTTCGACAAGGCGCAGCACATCCTGCAGCTCTCACCGGGGTACAGAGATACGTACGACTTCGCGTGGGTGGACAGCGAGAGCTGCGACGACATGTCGGGCGGCAAGCTCGACGACTTGTACCCTTGGACAGGTGTGTTGACGGCGTTGTTGTTTTTGACACCGTGCACGACACAAGATAACAAACACGCCCTTTGTGAGGGTTTCCGCAAGCACATGTCCCCAACATGCAGTAACCCCCCTCGGGACTTGAGCCTCCGAAGCTCTGTCCCTAACGAAATAATGCAGCGATAGAGACAAATTAATTACTGAACCGCTGGTGACCATACACGTAGAAACCCGGATATCGCCGGCCGCGGTCCCCGCGTCCCCCCATCCCACCCCCGTTACGCCAATCCCCAAAGATAACACACCCCCTGGACCGACTTTGAAAGCTCGATTTATCAACAGCAGAAAGAGTCGCAGCGCCGAAACCGGCGGCGTTGAAGCCGTCTGGTCGAGAGCTCTCCGAAAACGTATCGTTTCGTTCACGCATCATCTTCGCCGTGGCGTAATCGGAATCCGGTCGCCCCGGTGGTCTAGTTGGTATCCTCGAAAACCTTCTAGAGGTCTTACAGGGGTTCGAATCCCGGCGTAAGCGAGCTTTTCTTGCAAAGTGAGTTTTTCTCTCGCTTCCGCTTCTGGCCTAGTGGATAGCGCTAGTTCGTGTGTACGCAGAGGGAAGAGAGTGCTGAACTATTCTCGCATTAAAATCGAAGGCAAAGTACCGCAGGCGGGGAGGGAGAGGAGCTCTTCTGTGTGACCACGGGTTGGAGTAAACGGCACTAGTGCTGTGAGCGCTGATTTGAAGTGAAGACGAAAAAAAAAAAAAATCGAGCTTTGAAAATCGGTCCAGGAGGTGTGTTATCTTGTGTCGTATAAGGTAGGTGTGGTACCGTCGGTGACATGACGTAACATATCACACCCCCTGGACTGCAGGAAAGGAGAGGTGACGGTGCCGAACTGGGCGGCGTTGGAACCGTCTTGTCGGCGAGAGCTTTCCGAATATGTATCATTTGATTTGGGTATCCTCTTCGTACAGTGAAGTAAATCGAGATTTGAACGTGGATCCAAAGGGGTGTGATATCTTGCGTATGCAACCTATGGTAGTTCCTGCACTGGTTACCGTTAGGTTGCACAAGATATCACACCCCCCGGACTGAATTTCAAAGCTCGATTACTCCACGACAATTAGGACGTCGAAAACAAAGGATTTGTTTTCGGAAAGCTGTCGAAGAGACGGTTCCAACGCAGCCATTTTCGACACCGTCGCTGCTTTTTCTGCCGAGAAATCGAGCTTCGAAAATCGGTCCAGGGGGCGTGGTATCTTACGGTAGTTGCTGCACTGGTTATACGTGCCATACTGCATTGGTTGTATGTTGATGTTGTTTGGGCCGGAACGTCTGAAAAGCGGCTTTCCTATTCCGTTTGGGGTTGCAGTAGTTTGCTGGGACGTGTTCTTTCTCCCCCATTCAACGGCATCGATGAACGTAAGCATTTTGGCAAACACGAGACGGTGCTTAGACACCCTCCATCAAGGCGCACAAACGTTCGAAGTAGACCTCATGTGGGCGTTCGGTTCTTCCCCCTTTTATCTCGCCACATGAGGCTCTGAATGCGTTCATGTTTCGCGGCGACACCTGCAAGTTGTGTTTGTGGTCCTTCCAGCGACGGGGCGTGTGATCTGCTTGACGTCATGGATATGTGTGGGCCGCTCTCTTTATTTTCTTGTGTGCGAAACGTATTGCGAAAATCTAGCTCGCGTTTCACAACCAACTGCATGTTTTCACGGAGCAGATCCCCGCCCCCTTTCACCTTCGCAGAGGGGTTGGGTCTTGACCATGTTGGCGCCCAAAACGTGCAACACAATAAAGCCTGATGTATTGTCACTCCCACGTGTTCCGCCGCATGTGAATTATTTTGGTGTTTCGCCGCGCAGAACGGATGCTGGGCCTGGGCGACGGCACGGAGTTGCTGACGAACGCCGACCTGGTGGAACTCCTCCACCCGTCCAACCCTCAGCTGCCGTACGTGTACGAGGGGTTCAACAAGTGGGGCACTTGCACGGACTGGGACCCGTGTCCGGAGTGCGGCGACGGTTCTCCGGCTAGATAGCGCCATGAGTTCACGTGACACCGCTGTGCGTGTATTTTTACGAAACAGCGGTAGCTGTAGGTTTTGTGGCGCGTAGGCAAGGGCACATGCAGTTTTCTGATTGGTCGGCAGACCCCGGGAGTTGGGGGTGGTGGCACGAGTCTTTTTGTGGCCAGCGCTGTCCTTGCGAGTCCCAAGCTTAGTGGTGGCTCTGCAGATGAGTATGCCCGCGGGAAGCGAAAGCTTGGTGGGATTCAGCCGGCATGGCCTTCTTGCGTGTTTCCGTTTTCCAAATGCGACTGTGCAGCAGTGCTGTTGCTGTGTCGGACGCGAGGCTTGGTGGCATGTTTTCTCCTGGTTGAATGCTGGGGTTGACCGTGCGCCGCTGCCGCTGCTGCGGTCGACGATTGATGCTTCGTGTTACCCGATTTGTATTTGGCCAAGCAGACGGCGGCTTGGCACACACATCCCAGTACGCGCGCCCACAACGTTTTTTTTGGTGTGCTCTCGTCGTGGGCCTGCTTCATGAATACTCCCCTTGAGTACTTTAGTCCCTTTGGCGGCATCAAGTGTCGTCCTCGGCGTGAGCCGCCAGTAGCGTTGTTCATGCTGGCGGTTCTATCTGTCCGTTCTGTGGCCGCAGACGTGGATGGGGGTGTCGTTGCTGCTGATTCTGCCGTTGGGTCTACGGGGCGCGGGTCGTTTTGTTCTGTCTCTAACGGGGATAACCAAACCCCTCGAGTCATTCAGCACGGTACCGTGCTGCTGTCGTTGTGTGTGTGCGTTGTTTTCTCCGTTCGCGTTCCTTGGGTATGTAAGTACAAAACACGCATTTCTGGCTTTTTATTCTTGTCTCTGTCAGTATTCGTGTTTTTGTCATCCCGTATTCGTAGTTGTTCGTTTTTTCGGTGCAGTCGATCGTAGCCTTGGTCTGCCCTCACGGCAGTCCGTCGCCCCTCTCAACAGAAGAGTGGTCCGATTCGGCATTTTTCACTCGCAAGACGAGACTTTTTCAGCCGAAACGTCTTGCGGTTGGTGTTGTTGCGCACGGTTTTCTACTGTGTTTCGGTTTTATCCGAGCCAAGACGTAATGCGTGGGGTGGTGGACTTGAGATCCTGAAGTAGCAGCCCCCCATGAAACCGGGTCTCGATGTAAAGTACGTGTTCAAATCTATGTTTTTTTTTTTCTATCCAAGACATTCACCTACGTGCGTGTTGTTGTCGAGAGATTTTGCCGAAAGGAATACGCTACACGTGTTTCTTTATTGATTTTTTTCCAAAAGTTTCCGGCTGGTTGGATCGGCCTGAAAATAGCGGAGAGGAAAGCGCGACACGACTAGATGGGCCGCATCTACACGGCGGCGGCGATTTGCACTCTCCCGTGGGTGGATGGGGAATCCGCGGAGCCCCCTGCAAGTGCTGTTGGATACCTCTGGTGGCATACCATCGTTGCCAGCTTTCGGTCCGCCTGTGTGTTCTGTATTAGGGTATAAGGCGGGAATTCTGGGTCTCTCGTTTTTTTTCTTGCGTCTGGTGGAGAAATCGTCGGAAGTACCAATATTTTGCCTTGAAGGATGCGGCGGAAAGGAGTTCGGGTATGACATCAACCTGCTTCTGTTGGGAGTATCAACATTGCGTTGAAGGGCAGGTTCGGGTATGAGATCAATCTCAGGACGGGTGTCGGGATGACACCCAAAACGCCTTGTTCCTTTCGTCCGGGCCATGAATGATGCGTGAAAAGGATCCCGATTCAGTTTTTCTTTTTTTCTAGGAATGATCGTTTCGAGATGTTGGTTCGATGGGCACGGTGGAAGAGGAGGGAGGTGGTGATGGTGCGGGACAGGCGACAGAACCAGCTTCTGCTGTTGTGATCACAACAGGTTTATATCTTCTGTTCGGTTTCTTTGTTCCATTGAGATACATAATGCGTTGAGAGTCTTGTGTCTAGAGCTCGTGTCGTGAGGTGTTTGATTGAACTTGACGTACTGCGGACGGCGTGCGCTTAACCTTAGCAATATTCGGACGATGTGAGCATTGTATGGTGTGTGCCGCTGTTTTTTTTTTTTGCCCCTTATCATCGACCGCGATACCGGGGCGACCAATGTGTGTGCGTTCTCATGCAATGCGTAGTCTGTGGCTTTTTACCCTAGTACACGGCTGTTGGACCCGACGCGCGCAGTTTATTCTCTTCTCAAAGTCTCGTCTGCATTCTCATCAGGTCAATATGCGTTGTTGGTGCTCCAACCTTTGCCCTACCTGATGCCGTTGGGCTACATGCAGCAGTTTTTCAATGTCGGCGTGCGTTCGTCATTTTTGTGCGACCTTTCCTCCGCATGCACGCGTAATGATACAGGTCAGGGGGGTATTCGAGGCGGGCGTTTATCGTGGGGGAATGAGTTTTTGGGGTGCCGGGTGATCGTTATGATACACGGAACGGGTCGGGTGGAGGAGTTGATGATTGCCAAGCTTGTCTTGTGGTGTGAATAGCGTTTCTCCTTCCAAGGCGAAAATTTTGCTGTGTAGTATGAGAAAAACACGTCGGACGTTTGTTTGTAGTGTGTTTTCCACACTCCGTAGACTGCTTCATTGTATTATGTTGTATCGAGAAGAGGTTGTAATCTAGGTACAGTAACCTCTGCCCGTTCTGTTGTTGCTGTCGTTGTCGTTGTTGTGTCGTTGTCGTGTTGTTGTCGTTGCTGTTGTTGCTTGTTGTCTTCACGCTGAATAAAAGTATTCCTGTCGCTGCTCACTACCTTCTGACATCCGTGCTGGTGCAGCTCCGGCTGACACCGAAGCCTTCCATGTGATACCTGTTGGATTTTTTCGTGACGGAAGAACGTCCCCCCTTTTTTTTGTTTTTCGACCCGACGAGCTCTTGCGCTAGAGCCCGGAGGTTGGTGCTGTATGCGATCCGTGCAGGGACACGTGCACCGCAATGATTGATGTGACGGACTGATGCCGCACAGAGCGGCGCGCTCACGCCAGCCAATGCCGCTCATTTGTACCTCGACAGGAACAAAAACACGAAAAAACAGGATTCATTCCCCGATTATTCATTAATTGCAAACAGGGGTTCCCAGCTGGCCTGAAAAAAGCGGCCGTAGAATGTTGTGATCTTGAATGACTGAAGCGTACACGCTCAAAACAAACACTTCTGGTATTCAATTTGGGACGCAGCCGTGGAGCGCACGGCATTCTATAGATCATGCCTTCGATCAATAATTCCAAGGCTAGGCTCCAACAACATCCGTGAGGGCTTTGGACTGGTGTGGCCAACGACGATATCGTCGCCGTTTGACGCGCCTTTCTTTCTTTGCTCTCCCTACTGCAGGTCCGTGCTCATTCATTCATGAGCACCAGTTTTTGTGAGTCTCTTGATGTCTGAGCCTAGAATTGGCACTGATGATGATATGCCCTTTGAAAGTACGACGATGACGCCTACAGTAGAAGTCCAAGGGGGCTATGTAGACATATCACAGCCAGTGAAATTTCAAAATTTGAAGTGATGGCTGCAAACGACTGAAGGAGGACTGGTTTCTCGTCTTGCTTGTCGAAAAACTGTTTTAACTCTTGTCTAGAGAACAAGAATCAGGGTGGGCACGAAACCCGACGGTAAAGCGAACGTTTCTGCTTGTAGTATTCCTCTAAGCAAGACTCTAAGCTTTTTATTGCCAGACTATTCCTTTTGGCTCATTCATGTATGAATGTAGCACGTGTATGCATGCCTGGATGGTCACGCAAAACGAGGAAAACAGTTTTTGTCACTTTTTCATTCTGCAATGCCTTGCCTTCAACTTGATACGAACGGCAGAGGTAATAATGATCTGATGAAGCACGGCCATGAAAAGGGGAACTAAGTAACGATACTGCAAGATGTGTGTCGTGTTTCTTGTGAGGAATTCAATCCGAAGTGGAATTTTGATGACGACTTGGACTCGGCACGATGAATACACCGTTCATAAGAGAGCGCGGTGGGTGGTTATTCGACATACAGGCTTGATCTCGAGTGTCGGAGTGCGACAGATCCCCCCCCGTCGCATGCCACGTCATCAAGCACATGCCCCCCCGCCCCGACCCGCCCTTCCGTTCCAAAACATCGGATGCGCGTGCGTGAGTCTAAACGCTATCAGCTTGAAAGGAGTTAGCAGGAGCTCGCGTGATCACAGGGCCCATTAACATATGAAGAACAGATTCACATCCTCTGCTCCTCTGCATATGATCGCGCCACCACTACAATACCGACATCCTACACACACACGGCGATTGATGAACTACAGTAACTGCAGGTAGCCCGAGTCCGCTACAACACTATCATCCAATTCAACCAACTTCACCGTCAAGGGTTGGGGGTGGACTGTAAATAATGGGTGGGTAGGGACGTGTGTACAACATAGATAGTCGGAGTTCGGCAATGTTGGGCGGCCATCCATCCATATTGAGTGGTGTTTTCGATAGAAGAAGAAGCGTTTTGCACAGATCCCCGGCTACCTTCTTCATGGTAGGGGTCGGATCGGGTCGGGTTGGGCAGGTTATATTGGTAGAGAGCGGGGCTGGGTTTGGTTCGCGGTTGGTTGTTGTTGTTGTTGAAAACCGTTCCGATCTCTCTACCTGGTACCTTCATCTAACACTTGGTTGACGCGGTCGATTCCTCCCGTGCTCACAGGCTAACTTGCCCAAAACATGTTTTTCTCAAGGTTAGGGTGAGGTGAGGCTATGGATTGGGTGGGGTTTGGGTAGGGTTACGGCACGGTTGGGTAGGCAGTGGACCGTGTCGACGGAGCGCCGTGTCGGGCGGTACGGGGTACTCGAAGGGTCTACGCGACGAAGAATTCCGGACACATAGGCCACCCTCCCCCCCCCCCCCCCGGAGGGGGGAGAAATTCGAGAGGTTACCATGAATCGTCGAATAGTTACCATGAGGTTAGGCACAAGATGCTGAACACCCTTAGCAGGATGCAGCGCACCCTTCATGCGACTCGCCGAATACCTCACGGCGCTTCGCGCTTGGGGATGTGAGAACCCGGCGTGATCCGTCCCGGCTTTGTAGGGATGCGA